TTCAAATACGTTGCATTCAAATGTGGATTTTTATTTTAAATTCGACGAATATTCGAAATTCGAAAAAAATTTTGGCAGCCCTATGAGTGAGTGAGTGAGTGTGTGCGCGCGCGCATGCGTGCGTGCGTGTGTGTGAGTGTGTGTGTGTGTGTGTATAGTGTGTGTGTGTGTGAGTGAGTGTGTGTGTGAGTGTGTGTGTGTGTGTGTGTGTGTGTGTGAGAGAGTGTGAGTGTGTGTGATGTTCAGATCCTCCAGATGATGCCTTTTATGGACATACTCTGTTTAGCTTCACTAATACTCAGGCTCATTACGGCAGGATTTATGAAGTGGCAAGACATTCATCCTCACGGTTACACATCCATCATAGACACTCCACACACACGTGAGGGCTGCTCGGGTACTGCAGAAAGTGTAATCACACATGCCTCAGTCTAAACACCCATGTTTAAGGGTTTGACACAAAATGTCTTTTGCTCACCAACACTGCATTTATTTGATACATTTTATTTTTCAGGATTCACAGATGAATATGAAGTTAAAAAGAACAGCATTTTCTGTAATCTTTTGTAACATTATAAATGTTTTTACTGTCACTTTTGAGCAAAAAAAATGTCTTTAAAAAAAAAAACCTTACTCCAACATTTTCAATGGTAGTGTATAGGGATGCACCGATACAGATACTGGTCTCCTGTACTCGTACTCGTTAAAATGCCCCGATACCAAACGCCGATACCACACAGCATGTGATAAGCTCCATATTCAGACAAAGAAACACCAACAACAGACAGCAGAAAGGAGTTAAGGATGTCTACTACAAAGTATATGTATGCAATGAATATAACGTTACACATTCAGTATTAACTCTTGTATAGCTGATGTGTGCGAGCTGATAAACAAAGCACGCTGAGTGGATTGAGGAGAGAGACTCTCTAAATATACTAAATATAAATATACTTCTGTTGTGTGATCTTTGATGTTCACTCACTCAGCACACGCATGTATCTATTTGATAAATGAAGTTAACTAACTAACATTATACATACTCTTTTGGTTTCTGTACCCAATATTTAAAAAATTTACAAATGCAATGAAAATATTGGTATCGGTACTCGGTATCGGCAAGTACCAAAAATAAAAGTATCGGTATCGAGCGAGTACTGGAAAAAGTGGTATCGGTGCATCCCTAGTAGTGTATCACGGTTTCCACAGAAATATTGTGCAGCACAACTGTTTTCAACATTGATAATAATCAGAAATGTTTCTCGAGCAGCAGATCAGCATATTAGAATGATTTCTGAAGATCATGTGACACTGAAGACTGGAGTAATGATGCTGAAAATACAGCTCTGATCACAGAAATACATTACAGTTTAACAGAGATTCACACAGAAAACAGCCGTTTTAGATTCTAATAATATTTCACTGTTTTAAAAATAAATGTAGCATTGCTGAGCTGAAGAGACTTCTTTCAGAAACATTAAATCATCTTAATTATTCCAAACTTTGACCAGTAGTGTGTATCTGCTAAAAGTGAAATCTATCAACTAGCATACTGTATTCAACAGAGGAGAGTACAGTGCTTGGCAATGATGCTAAAACATTAAATCAATCAAAATATCACCTCTCAATCACTGCAGTGTTTCTAGGCCCCAAAGCAGAAACTCAGTGAACGCCCGGTTAAACGGCAAGATTAGACTGAAACAGGAAAAGAAGTCGTGGGAGATGAGACTGAGATGCATGTGTTGATGTCAGCTGGAGCCCAGCACGGGTCAGGGGTCAGGGGTCAGGGGTCAGAGAAACACAGCAGCAGTGTGAGGAGATGAGTGTTTATAGACACACCACGAGAGCCTGTGGATTTACCTCAATAATGGCTGACAAGATGTCTTCAGCCTCCTGGAGCCTGACAGAAGACACAGCAGAGCCACACAAGAGCTCCTACAGAAGAGAAAGAACACTGTCCTGGCCATGTGTGCAGCCCGAGAAAGATAGAAAGACAGAACAACTAACCCTCCATTAATACAGCAGCAGGATCCAATCTGAGTCTGTCATCAAAATAAAGAAGTACACTGCTGTTCAGCTGATCACGTCACATATGACTGATATAGAATCGCTTTTTATTTCTCCTCTTTCCCACTACTTGTGTCACTTCTGTTTCAGTTTTTATGACCATTTCTTACTATGTGTCAGTAAGTTGTTGTTTAGCATGTGTGTTTGGCTCAGTGTTATTTTTAGGATTACTGATAAACTACTGTCGTTTGATTTGTATTATTTGTTATTTATTTTTATTTTAATTGCATTATGTCTGAATTTATTATGTCTGTATAGGTCTTTTATTAAGTTTTAGTTTTATTTAAAGAAGCAAATAAAGTATAACTCGGATAAAGAAGATAATGCATCGTGTGGCCAGTTCTGCTATAGACGCGCTGCTGACGCGCCTCGAACACTTCCGCTCAGTTACCATGACAACAGCGGGCGTCCGGTTTCCGAGCAACAGGAGGAGCGCGTTCCGTTCAGCGGAGCCCACTGATCTATAATAGACAACATTATATAGATATTATATATAGATTATATAGATCCGTGTTTGTCCGGTAGCGCTGCTCGTAAAGCACTCATGGATTCCGCCTCTTCACCTGCTCTGAAAACAGACGCTCGTCTGAAGCTGAAAGTCGAACACAAACAGAAAAACGTGTTTGTAACGCAGCTGGAGGAGCACAGGTAACGTTACAGCGGTTCGTGTTACTCTAGGACGACAGGGAGCCTGTTCACCTTCACTGACGCTTGCGCTTCTTTGCTGTTTTCGTCACGACAGAGAGCAGATCGAGGAGCACATACAGCACATCCCGGTGATAGCGCAGGTGAGAGCTTGAGCGTCAACACTCTCAGGTGTGTGGGTTACCTGCGCGGTGTCTCTAATGCTGTGCTGAATGTGCTGCAGTCCTCCAGCAGGATCCTGGACACCGGCGTCCACACGCTGCAGACCACACTAGTCCTGAAGAAGCGCGCAGAGGTGGACGCACTGAACACACAGCTGATGGACACACGGCAGGAGGTTCAGGGGAGCATGAAGATCCTCCAGCAGAGACGAGCCGAGCTCCAGCAGAGACACACGGAGGTGAG